ATTTTTCCCGACCTGCATTGTGTCCACTCGCTTAGAATTTGAGCATAGCACCATCTCCTCCACCCACAGTGTGGCTTCCTTATGCGATAGATTCCATTTCCCGCCATCTTCACCGGGAAAGATGATATCCTCCAGACCGAAGACATCCACATATAGAGTGTCAATTATCCAATGACATACGCCAGCATCATCATGGAAGGTGTCGAAACAAAAGACGAAAACATACTTTAGGTAGGTCCCTGGCAGGAATTGGGAAGCAAACTTGAATTCGAGACGAATTGCAGGATTATGCCATCGGTCATCAGTCACCCATTCCTTACGATAAAGTGGGCAGGAACGAAGTACTTTATGAAGATTTGGACCCTCAATCTTACGGCGCTCTGGCTTATCAGGGTGATGAGTATGAATAACGACTCCAGATGGCCTGAATAATGGTTGGCCCCACACTGTTTTCCTTTTCATATTAGGATTCCTGCTCAAAACGTAAACATCTTCACTGCCGGAGAGCTGTGGGAGATCAAAAGAAGCCACGAGTATTACAAATTGTTCCAGTTGAACGATGGAATGCTTCGAAGTCATCTTGAACTGTTCCTCTACCCGCGGTATCAACAACAATGGTTCTTACCCCAAAATGGTCTAAATCCTCTTTAAATGCATTGGGTGCGAAATCCAACCTCGCACCTCCTACGCGTTTTGACCTTGTGCAACCTCCTGCTTTGGTCAGCGCTGTAATTGACATAAGGTGTTATAAAATGGTTTTCTCAGCATGCTGTGAATTTACCATAATGTAAAAAAGAAAAGAGATTGTTGTATAAATATTTGCTGCAATAAAACTTACGTTCAGTGCTATCCACCTCAGTGCGAACTCGGAAGGTCACACACACACTTACACTCACACAGACACACCTCAAGGCGCGGGGTGCATATGGTGAAAAACACGCACGCACACTCAAACCATCCCCATACTTATCCACACACACACACACACTGTCTCATACTACCTGTAGAAGGGTTCAGATGTGAAGCCAGTCTGCAACATTATTATTGGCTGGCACTTGGTTTCTACCTTTCACCTGTCTTTGTTACCACGGTAGAACACATTGTAATATGTTGGTTTGCGTTGCGCAAACCGTAGTTAACCAGCACGCCACGGGCCGCGCCCCCGCAGGGGAATATTCCCGCAAGATGACTTTAGGTGACCATACGCACTCCGCCGTGCCACCGCAGCCGACTTGCGCAAGCACGCACTCTTGCAGAGTTCCGCATTCGGGTCGCACTCGCGTACGACATCCCGTATGAGCCACCCTTCGCCTGGCGGATGCATCCGTAGACGGCTCATCTACTGCTGGCTGGTGTAATTTTGCCAGTTGTCTGTTTTGCTGCGAGTGCTCGCCACGCAATTTTGTTTTCTATTCCTCAACATTTAGAACTTTAGTATGGCTTTCTCAGCAGCCCAGAGGGACTCCATCGCCGAGATTGTGGCTGCCAGCGTTGCAGCAGCACTCGGCAACAGCCCGCCGGCTGGACACCACGCGGCTGACTCCGAGACTGGAGCAAACGGTATGTTCCCAGATGTAACGCACCACAACCACACCCCCGCTTGTATGGCGCATGTGGCCCCAGAAGCCATTGACAAAATAAAACGGATCGAGTATGTCGATATTGCTTGTCTGCTGGCCCCAAAGCCGGGACCAGCCGCCAAACCAACCCCCAAGAGATTCCGGGTAGATGACGACGGGGCACTGGCAGTCTGCGCCGCTCCAAAACGGAAAATTGAAAACTTGGCCACGTGGATCGAGGCGTGGTCCATTTTCAGCCTGATTGCCATAGGCGAACATCACCTATGCGCCGAAGCCCTGATGATTCACCAACTCCGAATCATCCAGGCCGCCGGCAAGTACCGCTTCGCAGCAGTTGTAGAATTCGACACCAGGGCGCGGCAGGCGCTGTCGAAAGATTTGTCCCGGTCACTGGCAGACCTGGACACTGAGCTCTACACGACCTGCTTTACCGGGCAGGCACTCCCCTTTTGCAACAACTGCAAGAGGCTGGTGCACCTGACCGCCTCCTGCACAACGCAGCCCTTTCGGAGCAGGCCAAAGGAGCAAGGTGTCAGCTCCAGCGCAAAACCAAACGAGACCTGCCGCCGTTACAACTACGGCACCTGCGTAGGCTCGTGCAAGTTTCGCCACGCATGCATGTTTTGCTCGGGAGAGCACCCAGCTTCCGCCTGCCCAGCCAAGAAATAGCGATGCCGCGAAGGCAGCCCCGGCAGTATCCTCTCTTAATAGTCTTATTTATAATATTGCACCGCACACACCCATCCACATTGATGTATTGCATGATGAATTGCGCACGCACCCCGACCCCGCTTTTGTTCTTGCTTTGATTAATAACTTGCGTTTTGGCTTTTGCATTGGTTTTACCGGGCCTCGTAATGTTTCTGTTCATAGTGCTAATCTGTCCTCTGCAACAGCTCACCCCGAAGTCGTTGACCAATATCTCGCAACTGAATGCTAGCGGGGCCATACGGCCGGTCCCTTCACAGCTCCGCCATTCGCCTGCCTCCGCACATCAGGAGTCGGCGTGGTCCCGAAAAAATCAGGCGGGCACCGGTTGATCATGCACCTCTCCGCCCCGCAGGGGAACAGCGTGAACACGTTCATTGACCCTGACCAATACTGCTTCAAACTGATTACGATCGACTGCATTGCCGATCATGTTTGCAGAACAGGCCCCTGCGCACTAATAACCAAGGTGGACCTGAAGCACGCGTTTCGGCTCTGTCCAGTACACCCCGACGACTGGCTACTGCTTGGCATGCAGTGAAGATCGAAGTATTACTTCGACACAGTCTTGCCGTTCGGTCTGCGGTCCGCCCCTAGCTTGTTTAACCGCCTAGCAGACGCGCTTGAGTGGATCCTACGCCACAAGTACAGCATACCCGCACTCGAGCACTACCTCGACGACTTTGTTTCGGTATCACCACCAGCCACTGTGGTGCCATCGTCAACAGCCGCAGTCCACAAGGCCACGATCCTTCAGGTGTTCGACAACCTGGGTGTCCCCACTGCAGTTGGCACCGACAAGGTGGTGGGTCCATCCACGTGCGTCACCGTGTTGGGCATCGAGATTGACTCGGCCACCGGGGAACTCCGCCTTCCCACTGACAAGCTCCGCGCGCTGCAACATCTGCTGCAGTCATGGTCCACCCGCCACACCGCCTCACGGCGGGAACTCCAATCTCTAGTGGGCCACCTGTCTTTCGCAGCAAAGGTTGTTCCAGCTGGACGCACCTTTACTAGACGGCTCATTGATGCATGCACTTCCACTCACAGCTCATCGCCCATCGTCCACCTGAGCAGCGATGCCCTAGCCGATATCCGGTGGTGGCAGGAATTCCTTCCCGTCTGGAACAGCAAAGCCCTTATGCGCGACCCAGAGTGGTCTAGGTCACCGGACCTTGAGTTGTTCACGGACGCATCCGGCCTAGGCTTCGGTGGCTTCTTTCAAGGTCGCTGGTTCGCCGGCGCATGGTCCGCAACGCAACAGACGCCGCCATACACCTCCATCATGTGGAGGGAGATGTGGCCAATCTCCCTCGCCTGCCAGCTGTGGGGACCGCTTTGGACGCAGAAGAAGATCCTGCTCCACTGCGACAACGCTTCCGTGTGCGCTGCCTGGGAGTCGGGCACCTGCCGGCACCCAGGAGTCGTGGCGCTCATACGCAGCACCCTCCAGACGGCCGCTCGCCACAACTTCTGTCTGCTTATCCGCCACATCGCCGGAGTGGACAACGGTATCGCAGATGCCCTATCCCGCGCTCAGTTCCCACGGTTCCGCCTCTTGGCGCCCGGGGCCGACCTCAGTCCGTCGTCACTCGCAAACATCCACGCCGCAGCGTGAGGAAGTCGCCATCCAAGGTCCGCCGTTACCGAGATTGGACGCTCTGCTCCTGAGACCACAGAACTATGCTTCTGCCCCCGTGTTTTCTTTTGTTTCCTTTACTTTTTCCGCTGTGTATCCCTGCTCGCACAGCCTACTGCCACGCCCCACCCGTTGCACCTCTGCACTAGTTGTTAAGCCCTCGCCGGGGTGTTACTGCCTATAATTTCTGCCTCAACCCTGTGTGCTTACGGATTGTCAAGTCCTTTAGAATCGCATCCCTGTGTGCTTATGGACCGAGTCAAGTCCTCTAGATTTGCCGCCCGGTGTGCTTAGGGACTGAATCAGGTCCCCTAGACGCCTGCACTTTCTTTGGGAGCAGTTCGGTCCCGCCGCTGCCTAGGGAGACCACCGCAATAGACACATCTAGATTGGGAATCAAATAGGCAAGCCGCAAGCAAAATCCGCACGCCTCATGGCAGTAGGCCTCCGCCGGTCAGAGAGCCCCGTTACACCTAGGATCATGACTGCGCTCATGGGGGTGGGTCGTACGAAGCAGGGTCACTCGCACTGACTGAATTTCTTTGTCCTTTGTTGTGTTGATTCCAGGCTCGCTGGCCGTTGCCGCATGCAACCGCTCACATGATGGCTCGCCAGCCCAGATCGCTCATCTATCCGCAGAAAAGCAACCTCCCGCAGGAGGGCCACCGCAGTCGCTTCCTCCGCAACGTACCGCTGGCCCCAGTCAGCACGCAGGGCTAGCTATCGTGTTTCTCGCTCGCTTCCTAGCCGCTGTCTAGGGCAGGTGGTGATGGATGTGCGCATGTTTGTGTATATGCGTGTGTTTATGTGCGCGCATGTGGGCATGTGCGCTGCTATACGCGGTCACTGGTGGATGCATGTGGCGCGCTATCTCTTCTCCTGTGTCCTCTCTGCCAGGCTCGCCAGCCGCCGCACTTTCCGCACGAGCCGAACAACTCATATCCAATTCAGTGGCTGCAGCCACGCAACGCACATATGCCCCGGGCTGGCCCGCATTCCGCAAGTTCAGGCAACAGATTCACCGCGACCCGCTGTCACCGCGTCACGATGACATCCTGCTATTTGCCGCTTCCATGTCGCATTCTGTCATTGCCGGCACTTTGAAAGTATACCTGGCCGCAGTCAGATACAACCTCCTCTGCAGGGGAGGACCTGTCGAAGTCCTTGCATCAAGCCGGCTCACCGCTCTGGTGAAAGGCCTGGAGAGAGAACGCGCATCGCTCCCACGGCACGCAACTGCCCAGCCTCGGAGACAGGCTATCACCGCCGTACAACTCAAGGCACTACATCTTTTCCTGCAGCGTTCCGCTTATAGCCCTGGCGACACGCTCATGCTATGGGCCGCATTGACGACAGCATTCCATGGTCTGCTGCGAGGTAGCGAGTACACGTCCCCGTCGCCAGCAGGGTCGGGTACCCTGAAAACTCTCAGGCGCGCTCACCTCGTGCTCTCTCAGGCCACAGCCAGCTTACGGCTTCAACGCACGAAGACATCGCAGCTGACAAGCGGTGGCGAGGTTGTGCTGCATCGCCATGCAGACCCGCAAATATGCCCCGTCCTGGCCCTCGAGGCATACGTCAGATCATGCGCATGGGGTAGTGACGAACAACCTCTCTTCAAGTTCGGCAATGGACGATGGCTCACGCCCAATGACATCAAGGTAGTGTTGCGCAGGGTTCTGGGCCCCAGCTACAGTAGCCACTCCCTCCGTGCAGGTGGCGCAACGCACATGGCGAACCAAGGTGCCCCGGAGTATGCCTTGATGGCAGCCGGGCGGTGGTCCAGCGGAGCTTACCGCACGTACGTTCGCAGGCCTGCAGGCATGCCGCGGCGTTACTGAGCCACGGGTCGCAAGCACCGCACGCCCCCCTTTTCTTGGAGGCACGGGCTCGGCCGATGGGCACGAAATCCGCATGGTGCACATCCATCGGCTGCCGCAGACAATACAATTAATATACTTGTGGGTACTACCGAGTACTTAGTGGTCATGCAGTTGCCATAGCAATGTACTGGTACACCCAGCCTTTATGATTGTTACATGACCCCATGGGTCGTCTTTCAAACGCTCTTTCATAGCCGATAGATGGCGTTATTTGTTCCTATCATACTATGTTACAGATGGGCGGCCTTAGACGGCCCAGTCCGATCATTTCACGCGAACTATGTTATTTGTCATCATGATCACAATAATCATGTCGTGTTCACGTTCAATATAAGCTTGCGACACCCCACTGGCTCATCTCTTCTGTGGTGTGAGGGTTAAATGTTGGTTTGCGTTGCGCAAACCGTAGTTAACCAGCACACCACGGGCCGCGCCCCCGCAGGGGAATATTCCCGCAAGATGACTTTAGGTGACCATACGCACTCCGCCGTGCCGCCGCAGCCGACTTGCGCAAGCACGCACTCTTGCAGAGTTCCGCATTTGGGTCGCACTCGCGTACGACATCCCGTATGAGCCACCCTTCGCCTGGCGGATGCATCCGTAGACGGCTCATCTACTGCTGGCTGGTGTAATTTTGCCAGTTGTCTGTTTTGCTGCGAGTGCTCGCCACGCAATTTTGTTTGCCAAACGCCCACGCCTACCGGACGGAGGGGAGGCACGGGCTCGGCCGATGGGCACGAAATCCGCATGGTGCACATCCATCGGCTGCCGCAGACAATGCAATTAATATACTTGTGGGTACTACCGAGTACTTAGTGGTCATGCAGTTGCCATAGCAATGTACTGGTACACCCAGCCTTTATGATTGTTACATGACCCCATGGGTCGTCTTTCAAACGCTCTTTCATAGCCGATAGATGGCGTTATTTGTTCCTATCATACTATGTTACAGATGGGCGGCCTTAGACGGCCCAGTCCGATCATTTCACGCGAACTATGTTATTTGTCATCATGATCACAATAATCATGTCGTGCTCACGTTCAATATAAGCTTGCGACACCCCACTGGCTCATCTCTTCTGTGGTGTGAGGGTAAAGGGTAATTATTTAGTGGAGCATACTCTGTATACCTCTCTCTCGCTTCGTGATTGACTTAACGCTAGGGATAGTTGTGTTTGCTGCAGTAAAACTTACGTTCAGTGCTATCCACCTCTGTGCCAACTCCGAAGGTCACGCGCACACCTCAATGTGCGGGGTGTATATGGTGAAACACATACACGCACACTCAAAACACACACACACACTTCTCCACACACACACACAGTCTCATACTACTTGTAGAAGGTTTCAGATGTGACGCTAGTCCTCAACATTATTTTATTGGCTGGCACTTGGTTTCTACATTTCACCCGTCTTTTTACCACGGTAGTAGCCTTTGCAGACATTGTGTTTTGCAAACGGATCCTGGCATCAACTGTTGAACGCTTCAACACCACTATCTACGTGCTAGGGTTGGACCTGAGCAAGGCTTTTGACACTGACAGTAAACCGCACAAAGCTGCTTGGTGTCATGTAGCAAGAGAAAATTGGAGACGCGGATGGTTTACGACTGGTTAGGTAAAGGCTATCTGGCACAGCCCTGACAGTTCGCGTGAACTAAGCACAGTCCGCACTTTTTGAGACAGCTCGGGGAGTCTCCCAGGGCGACGGATTGTCACCGGTACTGTTCACGATTTATTTGGAAGCAGCCCTGCGAATGGTACGTGACCGACTGCCAGCCCGACCATCAGCAGGCAACATTCTAACTGAAGAAACAGCTTACGCCTGAAATAGAGTGAGTGTCGTTGTGATAACATCATTTACGAGTGTCGTTGTGATAACATCATTTACGAGTGTGTGATTACGATACAGTGTTTGTTGTGTGTTGTGCGTGTTTGTCGGATAATAATATCAATAACAATACGCAGATATAATAATAGTTGCATAGATAGTACTTAGGTTTTTTGTTGTCGGTTTGTATTCTTTATTTAGGGTGGGAAGTCCAAAACAGGCCCTAGCCTAATAACAATGGTCCCACCAGTGAGGGATGCTGTATATCTGTGCATAAGGATCAGTGAGTGTAACAGCAACTAGTAGGGAAAGAAAAAGAGAGAAGAAAAACAAATCAAAACAGGAGTTGCGACTTGCATAGGGAGAAAATAACGTAAAGAGCAGTGCATACAGCCTTTGTAAAACGGCTTATTTATCTGGTAAGCAAAAAGGCAAGAGCCATTGACTTAAATCGATTGCGTTTTCTTTCTTGCCTGACCGCAGCGGGGAGCTGGTTCCATAGGATGGTCCCAGCATAGGTTCGTTTGGCAAGACGCTCTGGCTTATCAGGGTGATGAGTATGAATTACGACTCCAGATGGCCTGAATACTAGTTGGTCCCAGAGTTGGTCCCAGACTGTTTTCCTTTTCATATCAGGATTCGTTTGAGATAAATTCTATGAGCAAGGGTACATAAGTGGACTTGGCAGCGCTCACAGAGCGGGGATGAGGCAGTCCGAGAATATAATTGTGCACTGCTGAATAACTGAGGCAGTTCAAATAACCGTTTGATTATCTTTTTATGATGCGTTTCAAGTGTTGTGGACAAAGTTGAATTTAGACCACACCATGCTGCACGAAAGTCGCTAACACTTGCTAGCCGTGTGCTGTTCTTCAAGGCAGCTATCATGCCGGATCTACTGTATGGGTCCGTTGCGTTTAGCCCAGGTCTCACACAGGCCCAGACCGACCGGCTCCAAGTAGCACAAAACCGTGGGGCAAGAGCAGTTTATGGCCGGCCGGGGTTCTCTCGTGCCAGTGATCTCCTGGAACGCATGCAGGTGTTCAGGATTGGAGAAGTACATCGGCAGAAGGTCCTGGTCTTTGTCTGGAGGTGCATACACGCCAGTGCGAGTCCATTTCTCCAGGAGCTCTTCGTACGCTGCGCGGATCGTAGGACGCGCCTGGATCTCGCCCTGGGGCTCCGTCTACCAGCTACGCGAACCCGCGCCGGGCGATCTCGCCCTGCCTCCCGAGGTAGTGCCCTTTGGAACGTCCTACCGGATGCAGTCAGAGTACTGTCGTCTCTCAGCAGCTTCAAAGCTGCAGTCGTACCGTATACCCTCCGATCTTCCTGATGTTATGATTAGGGCCGATTCCCACTACGGTACCGTGAGTGCCGTGCCGTGAGTACCCATGGTGATTTGCTCACGTGAGGGGCAGTTTTGGCGCGAGTTCATTCCGTGGGTCATGCCGTACCGCGCCGTGGACATTCCGGTGCCGAGGGTCTCTGGGGGGTGGAAATGGCATGCCGTGGTATTCCGTGAGGTCGAATACAGTGTGTAGTAGGTATTTTACTACTTCCTGATACTAGTAATAGGAAGTTTTTTCTTTCTTTTGTATTTGTGGTACGAAGTGTTTTCTTGGCTTTTGGCTTTTGGATTGGTTGATTTTTGAGCTTTCTCCAATCATCTCCCCCGCTATTTTCCCTCCAGACCAAAGTCAGAAATAATTTAGTTGGTAAAAATGGCGATCTGGCCTGCCGACGGAATGCACGGAAAGACAGTGCGCAGGTGTAAATCACTCTCAGCTTCAAGCTCGTACCGTGGGGTACACGTGACCTACCCAAATCGTCGGCACGGCACTCACGGTACCGTAGTGGGAATCGGCCCTTAGACTTGCCCTGAGACAGCTTCCTGTCTGTGATAGATTTTCACTGTTTACCATTATTATTTGCCATGGCGACCCCCCGCAAGTCCGTAACTGGCAGGGCAGGGTTGGGCCTTTCATCCTCCCGATGTTAGTAGCAAGTACTCTCGTTAGCAGTAACTGTTAGTACTTTGTTTGTTTTTTATTTTATTTTATTTTTTTATTTTATTTTATTTTCTCTATTTATTCTCTTTACCAGGCGTGGGCCATCCCCTGGACAAACAAAATGGGTGCCTTATTATTATTTTTCTGTTTCTGTTTTAATGACAGTCCACTGCACGCCTGAAAAAAAAGTACTTAGTTTATTAGGCGGGTTACAGAACTATCGACTTATCGTTCGCTGGCTTACTTGTAGTTTGATAACGCTTCGCTCTTCATTGAGATATATACCATTCTCTCTTTTTCTCCTTATTTTCTCCCCAACCCTCCTTCCCTGTAACATAATAACATATTCGCTGCCTTGTCATTGAGCATTTGTGCTCGTTTGGATTTGCGAATTCAAATAAAGTATACAAACAAACAAACATGCTGTGTCGGCGTAGTCAAACAGAGCCAAAATATAGCAACGGTAGAAAAGTATTTCAAAACTATGAGGGAGGTGGGAACAGTGGGAAGTGAGTGCTCCAAGGGCGGAGGTAGTGCGACGACAAACATCATTAACTTGCTCTGACCAGGAAAGTGCAGAGTCAATACGTACGCCTAGGTGTTTGTGGGTTTTTACCAGTTCGATGCTGTTGGACGATCCTGGGAAACACAGGGTGACTGGGTCTGGACAATTGGCTATACTCATGAGCCGGGTGCAACCCTCCTCGTGTTACCGGGTTCTTGGATCGTGGATCTCTTGGTGTAAACACATAACACCATTTAACACGCATGCACTCGCTATTGCAGACCAGTGGAGAGCACACATCATATGGAGGATTCATGGAGTGCTGGGCAACCGAATCTGGCATGTGATAATCATGTAGGATAGTCCACGCACGAGGTGCAGCCCATGAAATGGGCACCCATGAACTGGGCGGAGTGTGGACGGCCTGTATGATAGTGTGTATGTATGTCCACGCACAAAGTGCAGCCCATGAGATGGGCGCCCATGAAATGGACGGAGTGTGGACGGCCCACGCACACGAGGTGCAGCCCATGAATGGGCACCCATGAACTGGGCGGAGTGTGGACGGCCTGTATGATAGTGTGTATGTATGTCCACGCACAAAGTGCAGC